TTCCTTAAAAAACAAAATAAAACAAAACAACCCCTCCCCCCCCAACTTCATGCCTGAAGCATGACCCCTCTAAGCTACCCAGGTGCTTTTACAACCCACCCTTCCTTCATCAGCTACTAAGGCTTTCCACCCTCAGATCTACCTTTCGCGGAGTACTGCCTAAACTGAGTCTCACTTAGTGTGACATATCTGAAATTTGTCTGTCCAGTCATTTTACTACTGAGTCACGCCCCACTGTGTGGATGCACCACGGTGTGTTTACCCATTTACTCGTTAAAAGACTAACCAGTTATTTCCAATGCACATCTTTTATGAATAAAGGCACTGGGAAAAGTTGATCACTAGTTTTGTGGAGCACATGCATCATTTCTCCTGTGTAAATATCTAGGAGAGGAGGTGCTGGGCCATGTTGTCAGAAATGCACTGACCAACTCTACTTCTCTAAGCCTTCATCCACAACCATCTTCGCTGTGAGCGCCAAGGGAGCAAGTCCCCCATGCCCCTGCGGTGTTGGATCTACTACACTCTTCCATCCTTTAGCTAGCCACTTTCTAGTGCATTCTATATTTACTACTGTAATTATTGCTTATGAATCTTTCCTTCTTTCTTCCTTCCCCTCCCTCCCTCCCTCCCTCTCTCCCTCCCTCCCTCCCTCCGTCCCTCCCTTCCTTGCCTCTCTGCCTCTCTCTCTCTCTCTCTCTCTCTCTCTCTCTCTCTCTCTCTCTCTCTCTCTCTCGCCATTTCACCCACCCTGCTAAAATACATTTCATGAACACAGAAAGCCCGAGTTACATATACCGCCATCTCCCAAGCACTCACTGACACCTGGAATAAACTAACACTACCTTACACACCTAAGGCTGCACCTGGAGAAGTCCAAGTGTGGTCAGTTTTAGGAAGGTAACACCAGGGAAAATAAGACCTCTAGTGTGTTTGCTGATGCTGTAAGAGCTGGCTTGTTTTTTCCTTTGAGATCAGACAAGATTGGGTCCATTCAGGGTGGTCTGGCTACAGACCAAAGTTTCTTTCTTTACACAGAGATCTAGCTGGGCAAAAACTGTTACGCAAAGCTGCCTTTTTTTTTCTTTCTTTTTTTAAAAGATAGTGTTCTACCCTATAGTTCAGGCCGACCTGAAATTCACAATCTTCCTGCTCCAGCCTCCCAAGGGCTGGGATTACAGGCATGCACCATGCTCAGCTTTTCTATTGAAGAAGGCAAGTAAAATTGCCCAGGTTCATATATAGAAAGGTATCCTGGGGTACAGAGGTCTAGCGTTCTCTCTCTATAATTTTCCGCATCTCTGTACGATGGCCCCAACTGACGGCCGGTTTTATTTCCTTAATCTTAGTTCTGTTCTCATTACCCTTCCATTTCTTTTTTATCCTCAGGGAAAGCAAGAGCAGTTACTGCCAGGGCATTCTCACGTTTCCACAGAAATGGCATAGGTGTTAATCTTGTATTTATGTTTGATGTGGGTAATGATGGCTGTGACTGGAGCCGTGGTTTATTAATATGCAGGGCTCTCACCTCATTAGTGGTGATGTATGTTTTGAAGTTAAGCTGCAGTGTTTGCTGGAATGTCGGATCTGGCCCAACACACATTCTCACTGTTCACTGTCTTTGTTTTTACCCACGGTCAGCACAGGCCCTGCTCACAGGGCGCTCACTTCTCTCTGACAATGAAGACAGCTCTTCCACAGTAGTTAATCTTGGTAGGCGTTTCAAACATTTTAAATAAGTATATCTTCATGTGATGTCATCACATTTGCTTTAGCTTAGAAAAGGGAATTATGGATTTTTTGACCCTGCAACACAAAGCACAATAACTCTCTCCTTGGCTGGATTTGTTAATGGAGTATTCTTATTGATTGGATGAAGTGATTAATTCATAGTTATAATAAAAATCTATCTACAGTATTAACATTTGATCATTCACAAAGTCCTCTCCCATCTATCATCTCAAATATTAAAATGCTAACCAAGAGAAACAGCTGATTGAAGAGAACCCTGATGGTATAGCCTGAGCTGTTGAACTCCAGGTCCAACCATTTCCAGGTGACATAATGTGCAGCCGGATAAACTAAGGGGACCAGACTAACCATGGGGCAAAGGTTTGTGGCTGCTTCTTGTTTAGACTGCTCTATAGTCTCCACTTACCCTGAGAAAAAGGCTCTGGATTTCACTTGTCCATCTTTCCGTAGTTAAAACCCAGGACACCAGACCAAGCCATTTATATGGGAGAAGTAGTCTGTTCTTTTGTATCAAGCAGCCAAACATGTCTCCAGTTCTTCACTGTGAAAAATGTGTGCTCCTGAGTATAAAGTAATGTCATTTTACTAATTCTCTGCTCTGTCTGGGGGGAGCAGCCTTAGAAAAGGATGATCAGAGGAGAACACAGTTCTTAGTACTTAGGCCGACACAAAGCGGGAAGCTTGGATCACTCATTAGTGTTCTGTTGTCTTCTTCTCACACAGCCTGGACCAGACTCCCCCAGCCTCCATAAAAGGACCCAGCTTTGATTTGACAATGTGACACATATTCAGATGTATTCCCATCATCAATCAGAGGAAGCAAAAATGAGCCTATGTGTGTGTAAGAAGGAACAGTGGTGAGCGTGTATACAGTACAAGTATATAAACAACCATATTACCTACTTAATTGCCTTAGCTGAACTTAAAAGCTCTGATCTTTAATTGCCTGATTGAACTCATCTAAAAAGCTACAATTTTTTAATCAAGGAGAAAATTAAATAGCTTTTTGGTAAATAAAAAGGTATCTTTAATCTTTTTATGAAATCCAAGTTATTAAATATGGACAAAACCTACTCAATTTAGGCTAAGTTTCTCAGTACAGTCCTTTACAAAAGTCTCCAGGGCCCTGACTCTTTTGACTCTACATTCAGAAGGTAAAAGCCTCTGTGAATAGCTATGCAACTCTAAGGCCAAACATGGAAATTTATTAAGAAGATGTATTATTACTGCAGCACTTTCTGAGAGCTGAGGGTCCATTATGAGGGAATACACACTCATCTGCCCTGTGATCCAGTCACCTTTCTATCTAGGCAGACATACATACACTACTTCCCTGATTCATAATAAAACAGAAGTCCCTGGAGAGGGCTTGTGGCAACCCATCTCCATGGCTTTCACAGACACCTCCCACAGTAATAGTTTATAGCAGTTTACTCTGGGTGTTGAGTGGGCCAGAAAAACCTAAAGAAAGATTCCGTATCAGCAATCAGCCAAGTCACCACAACCGTCTCCCACAACATACCAAAAGTCCTTTCTGAGCCCAAGTTGCAAATAGCAAGAGAAGTGTACACTGGTCTCCAAGGGCTCTGGTCAGCTGTGTCTGCCTAAATGACCACAGGAGTATTGTTCTGGTAATTTGACCCTGGGCTTTATTTTCAGATCCCCACAAAATCCATCTGAGACATGTTTAATGACATATCATTTCAATAAACAAACAAATCTGGTTATTCTCACAAACAGAGTGAGACTAACCCAAATAACTTAGAAACAGGAATTCTAGAGGAACAGCGCCTTGTCAGCATTATTTGTCACCTCAAAGAGGAAAAGAAAAGATGTTTTGGAATATCTGAGGTACACTTCCCTATCCATCAGTTCTTTGAGCAACCACACTTTCCATGTTACAGCTGGAGAGAATTCATTAGTCCAGAATGATCCTGTCTGCCTAGAGTACAGAACAATCCTAAGTTTCAATTTATAATACATTCCCATTTCCACAGCATGGTCCTTTTAATGAAGGCTTTGCTACTGAGCACTGATGCCTTCCCTTAGATCCCATGCCAAATGCACAGCAGATGTCTGGAAAAGGCAAGCAGACACTAGGACCAGCCACTGGCTGTCAGGGCTCCATGGGTGCTGCACAGGGGTAGGAGTAGCGTTACAGAGTAGCTCGGCCCACCAGGTTAGAGTGTGCCTTTTCTTTTACACATTACTCATCAGATGTGTTCACATATTGATACCCAGGAAAATGATACTAATCCAGTCCTGCTCACTCTCTCAGCTACTACTCTGGTACCATTTACACTCTAGAAACGCAAGGGCTTTATGGGGATGGGGGTGGAGGAAATGAGGGGGCTTAAGATTCCCTTTAATCAGCACGAATGCCTTCTAAAACTGAACATTATGCTTTTCCAAATGTAGATATTCTCTTTAAAAAGGATGAAGAAGTTTGGAAGCATGGGGTTATTGAGACCACCTATGAAGAACACAGGCTGGGTAGGAGCCTGCAGTTGAAGATAGGGTGAGTTCCTTCCAAGAGCTTTAGCCTGTTCTTAGGGGGGGAAAGTTTAAAAAATAAAAACTAAAACCAAATTAAAAAACGAAAAAACCCTTTCCTTTAACGGCATCTCATTGTACACTGCTGCATTCCCCAGATGTACACAAAGCCAGCGTAAGCAGATGTGCACTAAGTTGAATGTGTGGTTTGGCTCTGTTACCGTCTCTTTCTCGTTTCATAATTTGCTTCAAATGAATTCAGACATTTTGGGAACATTAAACAAACAAAAGGAGGCTCCTCCTGTAACACGCAACAGTTACCAGACCATCCCCTTCCACGTCACAAGGGACCATTCCTGATTCTTTCATTAGGTCCTTGTCTGAAGTTTCATTTCCAGGGAACAGAGCGCAATCTCTTCAGGAAGACACCTGAAGTTCTCTAAGGACCGTGGCAAGGGGAGGGCTGTACCTACAGTTAAATAACAGAGTCTGCTATTTTCAAATACAACAAAATAGGTTTTGCATGTTTGATAAATATGATTCACAAAAATAGAATCCCTTGGTTTGTAGTGAAAAAAAGCAGAAAAGATGGAAATAAGAGGGAGAAAATAAGAAAACTAACATTTACAAACCATCACTTTTTTATGGTCATATCAGCTGGCTGAAATGCTTTTTTTTTTTTTTTCTTAAACCAAGGTAATTGCACAGCCTCCTCCATCCCCACATTAAGTCCACATGTAAAACCCAGAACATACCTCTGTGTAAAATCTTTAAACTCCACAAATAGGTAAGGCCTTTAACAACCTAAAATTATGAAAGAGAAAACAGTACAGTTATGGACGTTACAGGAGATGTTCCACATTAAGCACATCAACCACACATTTTCCTTTAAACCACTGTCAAACTGAACTTCCTCTTGAGCACCTCCCCATCTATGCAGGCTCTTTGGGGTACCAACTGCAGAGCTCCATGTTCCTTGCTAGTGAGCTTACTGCTCTCCAAAGACTGGGTGTGTCAAAGAAGAGAGATGAGCATGTGTCACAGAACAACCTGGAAGGTCACCTGCTAAACCCTCAGTGGTGCTATGGGCAGGTTAGGAGAGGGACAGAAAAGAGGAACAAGGACTTTTTAAACAATTTTTCGAGTGTGTGTGTGTGTGTGTGTGTGTGTGTGTGTGTGTGTGTGTGTGTGTGTGTGTGTGGTTTTTCCACACAGAGTTTCTCTGTGAAACTGCCCTAGCTGTCCAGAAATTCACTTTGTAGACCAGGCTGGCCTCAAACTCACAGAGACCCACCTGCCTCCGCCTCCCAAGTGCTGGGATTAAAGGCATACACTACTACATTGAACCTCTGTGTGGTTTTTTAAAAAATGACTATGTTTATTATTATTTTATGTGTGTGAGTGCTTGCCTGCATAAATATATGTGCACTATGTGTGTGCTTAGTAGTCATGGAGACTAGTGGACGGCATCCTATCTCCAGAGTTACAAATAGCTGTGAGCTGCCACATGGAAACTGTGAGCTGAACCTGGGTCCTTAAGAGCAAGTGCTTTTAACTGCTGAGCCATCTCTCCAGTGCCTAGGTGATTTTTAAAAAGTCATGCTATTTATGATGAAGGAAAATTTTTTACTTCTAGTTTTTGGTAATGCTGGACCCAGGGCCTATGTGTGCTCAGGAGGTGCTGTACCAATGAACTACATCTCTAGCCCAGGAACATTTTAAGGAATTGATTCATGAAAGGAAGCAGCTAAAACAGAAATCACCTTTCCCAAAGGCAGCTGGAGAATCCTGATCAAGATTCCAGGCCTTGAATGTCAAACTTAACTGATGTGAAGGAAAGAGAAGCAAGCCCTGGACCAAGCTAACGATACATGTCAGCCGGACGTGTCAGACTGTTCACTGGAGGACTGAGGTCTAGGCTCTGTGGGAAGTCCTGAGATGACTTCCAAAACTTTCTGTGATTTTAAAATAAAATGAAAATGAAAAACTATGTTAAGAAGGTTACCACGATGACTGCCGATGGCATGTCTCCTGGTCAAAACTTGCATATGGAGGAAGCCCACAGACAGCATCGCAGGCCAGGCCAGGGAAGATGCCTAAGTACCACTGCTTAAATTCCACCCCATTTTCCTCTGTAACTGCCAGCGTTAAGAAAGCTGGTCAATGAAATTCTGAAAAAGACCCGAACTATACAGGTTGCAATTATTACTTTCTCTGTGGAAAATTCAATCAGGAATTGCCATTAGGATCTTTCAATCTTGAGCTGAGTATGTGGGTCACTGGTAAAAGGTTTGGCTAGCAGGCAGGAGGCCCTAAGTTCAGACTCTAGTACCACTAAATAAATAATAAATAAATCTTCAAAATGTATACAAGACTGGTTGTTACATGAAATGCATGTTTTATTCATAGCACATGAATAGAAACATATTTTCAAGGTTTATTATTCATAATTGGATTTAAAAGAAAAACACGGAACAAATTGCTGTTACTCAAAATGTCCTTAGAAGCATTTAAAAGTACTTATTATTACAGAAAATTTTGGGTGAGTCAGGTCTATATAATAAGAAAACCTATCATGATAAGAATTAACTAAGGGGTCTGTGTACCTCAAACATGATTTTAGAAAAGGATGGTTAGGGCTCTGTATACAAAGGTTTTGGTTGATCAAAAATGACTAATAGCAACAGCAAACACCAGAAATACACACTGAAAAAAGCAATTTACAAATGTTAAAGATCAAGAAAGTCAACTCCATGTCAGTTAATGCTGAAAGAGGCGGGCCTGTTTGGCTGCTCTCATAGAGCAGAAGGCACTGGGGGGAGGGGAGGAAGGGGGAGGGGGCAGCTATTACAGCGATCAAGTCCATTCCATGCTTATCTGTTCTAAGAGAACAGAATAAAATTTAAAAAAAAATTTTTTTTTTCCATGACAGGGTTTCTCTGTGTAGCCTTGGCTCTCTTGGAAGTCTCTCTGTAGACAAGGCTGGCCTTGAACTCACAGAGATCTGACTGCCTCTGCCTATAAATACATATGTTATGATAATAAAATTAGAATGTGTTTAAAATAAAAGCATAAATGAAGGTAGTTTTATCAACAGAAATAAGATAAAGTATTCAAATGTTTATAAAAGATATCAGCAATGAAAATGACTTTTCCTTGAGTAGTGGGAGGAGGCTCCAATGGTTAGTGTGGGAGCGTGAGGAAGTGGGCTTCAACTTCCTGACTGAGGAGCTTAGCTGTGTACTATGAGACTTCCCTGGTACAGCCTGTGTGTCACTAACATTAGCTCAGAAAACACATAAACAAGATCTACTCCAACAGATTCAGGTTGCAAAGTAGTGAAAGAAATACAATACCGACATTATGATATTTGATAAAATCATAAATTTTGTTAGAGATTCAAAAGAACTATTATTCCTCCAACTGTGAAAACAGATATTTCCCTTTAGTGTGTTTAAGTATCCATGTATAAATGAGCATGAAATCTGTCCACTAATCTGGAGTATCATTGGTATTCAGTAGGCTAGGCTGCACAAAACCCCCTAACAAAGCCTTGACACGAACAGTACTTATATCTGCTGTCAATTATTCACTCCTTGACATGTCAAGAGCACACCTTTTCAGGGACGTCAATCAACAGTAACATTAGCATTCAAAATACAGCACAGTCTGCCACTGCTTTAGACATAAGGGGGAAGTAAATGTGGGGCACTGGGGAAAGGTACTTTCTTTGAAAGAAGTCAGATTCAGTGGACAGCAGGGCAGAAGCCTGTGGAGCTGGGAGGCTAAGATCAGGTACTTTCTATGGATTTCTTCAAGGGAAAAACATTCTCTCTCCCTATATCCTACATGAGAAAATCTGAGTCACATTTCACAGATGCTGACACGGTTCATCTGTCAATGGTCTTCAGGTCTGTGGACCTGCCTTGCATGCTGGATTATTAGATCCAGGAAAATTAAGCTCATCTTGGGGGAAGAGATCTCTAAAAGAGACATGAGATGATCTTCAGATTGAGCACAGTGGCACATGCCTGGAGTCCTGGGAGAGCAGCTGAGCCCAGGTGATCAAGACCCCCCCCCCCCCCCAGGCAAAAGCAAGATGCCGCTTGAAAAAAGAATCTGAAGCAACTGTGTATTGTATAGTCATATATAGTTATATATATAGTTATTATTATCCCTTCATTCCCATTCACTATTCTTATCATCCCCCATCTCTCTGTTTTAACCTAGTTTCCCCTTTAATTCCTTTTTCTCTTTTTTCCCCCCTCAGCTTCTCCAAAAACAGAGTGAAGGGGCATCCTGTACCTAGGATAGCACTGGTAGGGGTCAGTTATTAAGCTGTTCTGCTTTGCTTAGTACTGATGTGCTCAACCATCCTCATATTACAGGGCTGCTCAGGCAGCGAACTCATATATAAGTAGACCACAGAGAGGGCACTCAAGTACTCACACAGACCCATCTGATTCTGTTGTTGGACTGGACAGAGGCAAGGCTATTTGCACGTGCCTTCTTGGATTAGCTAAGGAATTTGAAGAAAAGAAACTGATGCCATCTTTGGAACACTCAGGAAAAGTAACCAGGGAAACCGAGAACCGGAACAGGCTGTGTGCATGCACATTTTACAAGCCATGAGGGACCACCCATCAGGGTGATAGTTGCATTTGGACTGCTAAGATCTTATGGTGTCAGATGCTATCCCTAGGCCAGACTGGAAAATCACCCATGTTTGGAGTCCATCCAGACCCCCCCCCACACACACACACTTTGAAGGTACTATACAAGTGTAGGGCACTAATGGAGTTTATGAAAGCTGTCAGAAGAGCGAAGTTGTCCAGAGTGTCTCCTCTACTTCCACCACCAAAGCTCTCATCAGCATGGCCTGGAGCACTGCAGAAGTGGACGAACTTCCTTGTTTTGTTAGACTGCCTCTGATTCAAAACCATCAACCCCGTCTGGACTCGCACTCATTTTAATGCTTTTTGCTAAAGTATTCTGGAATCACCCAAAGCAAGCCCTGTATTTAAAGCTGGCAGTTTTTCTGCTGACTCTTCACTTTACAACCTTCCTATCCTGGTTGAATCAGAAAGCCCAGTGGCCTTGTTGGTACTCTACACGGGAGGGAGGCAAGATTGATGAGGCCAGGAAAGAACATGCTTCTCCACTGCACAAAGCGGATTTCTATTTTCCCAAGTTCAAAAGATGATGGGAACACAGGACTTGCAGACTCTCCTGCTTCCTAGCCCTTCTCCTTGCCTCTTCTTGCCCTTTATTATATGTGTTACTAAACTCTAGAGCCAAGAACTGCCAAAAGCTGCAAAGCAATCATTCCCCTCGGAGATTAGAAGAGGAAAGGAAACATTTTTATTTTCATCTAAAACACTGATTTCAGTACTCAGATTGCATCCTGAATAATCTGCCTCATGTGTAGATTAGAAGCTGCTCGGCAGAGGCAGCATCAGAAAGGAGAGTGCTCATCACCCTGGGCAGTTCACACCAATAATTAGAAAGAAAAAAGGAAAGCTGTGAATTACAATGAACTAAGCCTGAATAAGTGTCCATGTTGGATTAAAGAATTTGAGTTGTCAGTTTGATGTATAATGAATGTGAAAATAAGCCATTTAATTAAATGGTACATGATATAATCACTTTGTTCTGCATTAAACCACTTAATTTAACAGAGCGTCTTTACTTTAGCAATTGTTTACGATTACAGCACCCAGTGACTTTTTTTAGATACGGTTAGCTTATATTATTCCAAATCTCAAATCTGGGACTTACATAATAATGCCAGTTTAGATGATATAATTTGTCTATTTATTAGTGAGTACAGAAGATTAAGAAAACTGCTTCTCATCACAAAGGGCACAGAATCCTAGATAAAGTCCCTAAAAGGTAAGACTAAAACCAAAAGCATAAGAAGACTGCAAAACCATTTAAGAGCAAATGTATTTTGTTTATAGACTGTTCCACTAATTTAAATCATTTTCAAATTCTATAACTAAGAATGTCCCCTGTACCAGTTTTCTCTTGGATGAAATTAGAAACCCAGGCACCAAGGTCCCTGTAATCACAGTACCGACAAGCCAGAGGGACTATGCTGGAGGTTAGCCCACAAGAAGAGAAAAAGACAGAAACAACAGATGGTAAGAAGGACCCAACAGCCAGCTGGGACAGAAAGAAAGGACGCATCTGAGGACCCAGGAATGGACTGGACAGGAAGGTTTAAATAGATTCCCTCCCACTGAAGCCAATATACTTACCGCCACTGCAATTCTTCCGAGGACATGCTCTGGAATTTTCCTATATACATCCAAAGACCCCCCTGTAGAGACAAAGACGTGGCATTACTACAAGCAAATCACGGGCACAGAGCACTGGACTCTCCTCTGTGCCTGCCTCGTGAGAATGCCATTTCCATTCTCTGTCACATACAGAACATGGAGAGCTAAGTTGGCTTTCAGTTCTTCTTTTATGAATGACAGAATTGGACTTCCGGAAGAGCATGGCCAGCTACTTCCATTTAAAAATCCAGTCATTAAAAACTGAAGGGAACTAGGAGGGTAGCTAAGAACCTGCCCTCTATGAAAATGTAGATGTCAAGAAAACTACAGAAACGACCCCGACGGCTACACTTGATGCTTCATGTCCACTTTCTCACATGGCAACCTGGAGACCCTATCTTAGAATTCTCCCACTTATCAAACAAATCTGGGTGGGTACGAACTTCAAAATACACACAAAGACTAGCACAGCAGAAGCAGCAAGTCTAAGTTTTCCATGAAAAGCAACTGATCAACTCCCGGCTCCTTGATGACCGTGAAAACCAATAAGGTAAAACTAAAACACAATCTCTCAAGTTCTAACTTGTTTTATTTTAATTACATTTTATCTATTTATTGTGTGTATGCACGGATGTGTGAGCCCACCTGTGGAGGTCAGAGGTCGACTTTGGAGAGCTTGTGGTCTCCTCCCACCATGTGGGTCCAGGGACTGAGCTAAGGTGACCTGACCTGCAGCGCCATCGCACGGGCCCTCCATCTAATTTATTTTCACTAGACTGTGACTCACTACTATACTGCTTTATCTGTCAACTCTGACTTTTGGTAAATCACCTTTGACATTTTTTAAAACTGAAAGACCACTGGACAGATTCATCCTGCTGTCCTTCCCGTGCTCTTCTGAGAGAAGGTTGGCAGGAAAGAAAGGACACAGCAGAGCCCCTCAGAGTCAGGAGACCTGCTGACTGATGAGTGCTCTGTGGAGTTCAGTCCTTCTGGATTTCTGTTTGTATGTTTTTCATTTTGAGACAGGGTCTCATTCTATAGCCCTGCCTGGTCTGGAACTCACTCTGTAGAACAGGTTGGCCTCACACTCAGAGGTCCACCGGCCTCTGTCTCCTGAGTGCTGGGCTCAATGTGTGCCACCATGCCTGGCGGGTCATTCTTAGGCTGAAAATGGCAGAGGATTTGGGTTTAATTCTTACCAGTTTCACCATCATTTCTATCCTGTAGATCTAGCCAAAAAAGGTAACTGTTGGACTTATGAAACCAAACATCAGTGCTAGAAGGAACCCTATCTCACTGACCATAATGCTCTCAGCAGCTTCCAGGAAAGGATTTTAAACCAGCTGTAGCAACAGATCACCACAGTCACCAGAATCACCAGTCCCTGGAATCACCACAGTCCCTGGAATCACCACAGTCCCCGGAATGACCAGTCACCATGCAATTCCCAAGGCAATTGTTTTGAGAGTCCAACTCATCAGGAAGTATAAACAGGAATGTGTTAAGAATCTCAACAACATAACTTACATATACTCTGCAGGGAACGAGTACTTCACTTGTTAGCAATATGATGAGAACTAAGCTAATAATACATAATATCGCCTTAGAGTCAAACTGAGGTATAGTCTTTTATCACTATGAAGAGGGTACCCAGGATGTTTCAGAAGTAATTTTTTTTCCTGTCAAGACTAAAATTTCATATTTATGATGTGACCACTGATGATTAAAAAACACCTAATAAGGTTTGAAAATGAAACATGTCACTCTTCTGAAACACAGTTAAGACAGGCTCTGTGCAAATAGACTATTATGGTATGTCATATTCCCTAAAGCTACTACTGTTCTGTTAAAAATGGCACACACATCACAGAGGTATAGCTTCCTATGTATCCTGATGAAAGCAGGTGTAGGAAAATGATCACTCCTTTAGGTAATTTCTGCTTGCAGCTCCCGGACTCTGAGCACAGGCTGAGTAACCACAGTACCAGTAACTTGGTGCTGTGGCTCTCAGTGCTCCTGGGGAGATACGGAAAAACAAAACAAAACACTCATGCAAAGAGCGGAAACATCCTTGTTTACTAAAATATTTTTATTTTAGATGCAATGAAAGAAAAATGTGGCAGAAAAAGAGTGTTCCCATTGATTTTTCAGGTGCATTGGTAGTTGCATGGATGAGTAAATTCAAGATGAAAAAGCTTGCTATGTGGTATCTGGAACACTAACAACAGCAGCTTACTGGGGCAGTTCCTCAGGAAGCCAATGGACTCAACGCTTGGGGAATGAGCCCACCCACCCACCCACACCAACAAGAAGTTCTATGCACGTTATAGAAGAGGCTGTAAGGAGCTAAGTGACAGTGGTCTTACCAAGCTCAGCTGAAAGCCAATGGTGACACCACAACCATTATCAATAGAATAAGGAAAAAGGAATCTTACTTGGAGGCAGTTCACTGGCACCTGTAAGCACCCTGCTGTCCTCAGCTGCCCACATGGACAGGTCTTTATGGAGCTGGCTCTGTGCCATCAGGTGTACCCCACCCTTCCCATGCTCACAGAGATAAATTAAGAGGTGAAAAGATGATACTACCGTAGATCCACTCAGTCAAGGGAGCCTGTTAATTTCGATGAGCACTCCCTCTCAGAGGCTAAATGGAGAGGGTTTGGGCTAGTTTTTCCTTGGTTTCAGTGACAGCTCTATTCTGTACACCGCTCCACAAAAGGCAACTTTTTAACTTGGCACACCATAAACGTTAGCGCTGGAGTGTTAATGAGGAATCCACCAGCCTTATTTGACTTCGTTTGAAACTGAGTCCCATAAATGAAAACGTGACAACCACACTCAGAAGACCTGAGCCTCTGAATATCCCCAAAGGCCCCTCTGTCCCAACATCACATAGCAGTGGAATCACAGGGGACCTTTCTGTGAGTTTTACCTCTCCACAATGTGATATGATGACACACACTGGCAGTGTCATGTTGCCTGAGATTTCTTACTCAGGGCTGGGTTTTGACTGGACTGGGGATGGGGCCTGGGATCTCAGCCACTCGAGGCAAAGCCTTCCCCACCGAGCTACAGCTCCAGGCCTTACTGTAGGCAAGGCCTTCCGGAATTCACTCATCTGTGGTTCCAGCGCTGGACTTTTAGCTTCTTATTCAGGTTACAGGCTTGCTCCCTGTGAGTATCACTTCCGTTTTCCCTGGCCACCCCCACCCCCATGACTACTTATTGTACTGCAAGCCACCGTCCACATGGTAAGCCAGAGGAAGACTGCTGGTAGATGAGCAGAAACCCATGCACAGTACTGAAGAGCGGCACGTTTCTGCTGACAGATTAGGGCCGCCATCTTCACTTACGCAGACCTGTAGGTCTGTGCTACTGTGTTACAAGATGTAAATTGCAAGTAGGGTCTTTGTATGTAGGTTAAATATAAGTATGAAGTGAGGAGTGAGAAGCAACAATACCATTATGATAATCTCCAATTTGCTTGAAATGACCACAGTCATTATTAAGTTAACAATGTGAACAAAAAAAATTTAATACAAGATTTTTTAAGTTCCTGCTAGCTGAACATATAAAAGCCCTTTCCTTCTTTGCAATGCAGGGTTTTTTTGTGTTTTTTGTTTTTGTTTTTGTTTTTTTTTGGCTGGGGGTGCGGGGCACAATTTATTCCCGTGGTGGTAATCCAAACACATCTGTACTCTGAGATCTTCTAGTTAGAGTTTCTGAGATTTTGTTTTGACTGAGTATGAGGGTAGGTCACATTCTTCTCCCAGTGTCTTCCTAATAAATTCAGCCTCAAACCTAAACTCCTTGCTGTAGCCTCTGAGGCCCACGAGGTTCTAAGCTCTGACGGTTCAGGCCTCCTGGGCAGCCTCTGGTCCTTACGACATCACTCTCGGGCCACCACGGTGGTCTTGCTCATCTGGGAACACTGGCACACGCCGCTCTGTCTGTTCGAGCATCCCAGTGGTGTCCCTGACTAGCTCATTAATGCTTCTACTCAATGTCACTTCTGCCTCTGATGCCCTGCTCAGCACCTGCTCTATTAGCCCACCCATCCTGCTCTGTGCTCTCATGGTTTATCCCTCCCTGAGAATGTACTGGATGTCTCTAGAATATTCCCTGAGGACAAGGGTTACTTTAGAATATGTATCCTGTGGACAAGGGCTAAGTCTTGGTCACTGTGGTGTCCCCAGGTTTACAGCAGTAGCTGAAAGAAAATGCTCAGTAAATATTGCAAATAGATCATAGTATGAGATAAAAATACACTAATCAGAGAGGAAGTTGTCAAGAAATTGGACTGCACAGGAGAGGAAATGAAAGCTGGGGGGTAATACACAGATTTAGTGATTTTGTGTGCTTTGTTGTATATGACCAGAAGACTGCATGCTAACCTCCAAATCACCCTGTCTATATAACTAAGATAAACCATGTTTAAAGACCTAAAGGGAGGGATGAAGCTAGCCCCTTCCACCTGAAACAGACTATTAATAAAGACTTAGGAATTACATGGAACAAAACAGGAATGTCTGAGGTTAACAGTAACTGAAAGACACAGGACCAATAGCATGAGAAGACATAAGAAGAATGCAATATAGAACAAGTGTCTCTACCCACTGGGCCATCTTGATGGCTGGGGTTACTTCCACTCTTGGTCACTTGAGAGTAACACTGCCGTGCACACAGGCTACTGTGGACGTGTGCTAGTCAGTTCTCTTGGGTTTCTGTGGTAGCAGACTTGCTAGGTCCTGTGGTAACTCTATGTGAAGAAGTGTCAAGCTGTCTAGTCTATATTACACCATTTCCGATTCATACAAACGTCGTTTGGGGAGTCCAACTTCTCTCTGCCTTTGCCAACACTTGTTATTATGTGTTTGATTTTGTTTTGTATGTGTGCGTGGTCTCAGATGTGAACACACAGATGTAGTTTTTTTTTTTTTTTTTTTTTTTTTTTTGAGACAGGGTTTCTCTGTGTAATAGTGTTAGCTGTCCTGGAACTCGCTTTGTAGCCCAGGCTGGCCTCTAACTCACAGAGATCTGCCTGCCTCTGCCTCCCAAGTGCTGAAATTAAAGGTGTGCACCACCACAGCCCAGCCATGGATGTAGTTTTGATTTAGGTTTCCTTAATAACCACTGTTGTTGAATATCTTTTCATGTGGCTGTTGACCGCTGTACATCTTCCTTTGAGAAATACACACTGTTTTTTAAGTGAGTGACTGGTGTTTTTATTGTTGAGTTGAAATATTTTTAAGTAATTACAGTAACTGCGAATGATTTGAACACTGACAGACTAGAACAGCTTGAAAGTTCCTCAAGGTTAAGAGTTGCTACAGGATCTGGCAACTTCACTGCCACCATGCCTGATCACCTGAATTTGATCCCTGGGACCCACATGGTGGAAGGGGAGAGTCCGCTCCCACAGGCTTTGACCTCCAAGAGCAAGCAGTAGCACACATGCACACTTGTTTGTGCACACATTCACACACTCAGACACACGCAATAAAAATAAATATCTTTTAGATGTAAAAAGTGAAAATATCCTAAGTGACTATCAATTAAAGAAAAACAAATGCTGTATAGCCAGTCAATGACATACTATTCAGTGATGAAAAGAGATGGCGGACTGCTCCTGCTACTGTAAGGATGAACTTGGAAACAATATACAAGCAAGAGACGCCACGCACAAAGGCTGTAGACTATAGGATCCTGTTGATGTACAATGTGCCATATCCAGAATAGATACATCCACAGAGGCAGGAAGGAGACCCATAACTGCCAGGGAGAGATGGAGGGGATGAGATGAGCAACTTACATTGGCCGAGGCTTTCTCTTTAGAATGTTTTGAAATTGGACAGCAATAAGCTGTAGGTTTCAAAATGGGGAATTTTATGGTATCTGAATTCTACCTTAATAAAAGTGGGGTTTTTTTTTGTTTGTTTGTTTGTTTGTTTTTTATGGGACAGGATTTCTCTGTATAGCCTTGGTTGTCCTGGAACTCTTTCTGTAGACCAGGCTAGCCTTGAACTCAGAGATCTGCCTGACTCTGCCTCCCAAGTTATGGGATTAAAGGCATGAGCCACCAATGCCCAGCTAATAAAAAGTATTTTAACGTAACTGAAAAATTATGCAGATCTCAAATGGTGAAAGTTCAAAAGAGTGACCTGTACTGGGATTATGAATCAATGCTTTCTGATTGGTGCCCACCTACACTACCTATATGCTTATATGATTTGATATCATCCTAAGGATACCCACAAGGGTGTGTGTGTGTTTGTGTGAATGTACCTGTGTGTGTGTATATTTGTGGGTGTGTATGTATGTGTAGTGTGCATGTGTGTATATGTGAGGTATGTGTGTGTTTACTAAAGAAGTAGAATAGTGTGCCTGTGTGTATATGTGTGCTGGGGGGGAGTGTATGTTTGTGTGTATGTGCAGTGTGTGTGCTTGTGTGTGTGTGTGTGTGTATGTGTGTACGGTATGTATATGTGCAGTGTGTGTGGTGTGTATACCTAAAGATATAGAAAGGTGCATGCATTTGTGTATATGTGTGGTATATGTGGTGTGTGTGTGTATGTGTATGTGTAGTGGATGTGTATGCGTGGTGTATGTGTACCTAAAGTAGAAAGGTGAATGCAATTGTGCATGTGTGTATGTGTAGTGTGTATATGTGTGTATATGTAGTGTGTATATGTGGCTATGTGTGGTGTGTGTATGTGTGGTATGCATGTATATGTGTGTGTATGTGGTATGTCTATATGCATATATGGTATATTTGTGGTGTGTGGTGTGTGTATATGTATGTGTGCATAATGTGTGTGTGTGTGTACCTGAGAAAGTAGAAAAACATGTATGCTGCATTTTAATGGAGGCTAGATACTGAAAAACTGACCTTTTAAAAGGTGAAAATTACCCAGATTTAAAGTGGAGAGCCAGTAATAATGACCACCCTACAGTGATAGGCTTCCCAGAAGTCTGCATTCTGTCACAACATTCAGATCAAGGAAGAGCTACCGAGAGCAGTGAACGGCGAGCAGAGAGGGCAGGACTGAGTCCAAAGAAAGCCAAATGCAGCTCGGCTAAACAGCTGTGCTGAAAAACAATTTCTTGTCTAGCAATTAAGAACCTATTTCTTTCTGAAAGACACAGGACATTGGGTTAATAGATTTCTTTAGAAGAAAATCTGTTTTGGCGACTGAAACATTAAAAGAACAGAACATCTGTTCCCCGGCAAACGCACGCTGCACAGAGGCAGGCAGTGAGCCCCACGCGCCGACTGGACCCGCGTGCCGTCTGTCCTATTTAAATTTTTAGTAAAAGGAAACCAACTTGCATTCTTGAAATTGTAGCCCACCTACAAATATTTAACACCAGGAACCTTTACAGGAAGAGAATTGCTAGTGTAAAGGAAACAATAATTAACACATTTCAATCATTCTAAAATCTCCTTGACATCTATATCAAAACCAAGTTTAAGGCAGCCGATTCCAAAAGTCATTTCTAATATAATTTAAAGGGAAGAACTCACCATCCATGAATTCTGTACAAATTGAAATCCTGTTTTCTACAAAAAATGCCCCGTAAAATCCTATGATATACGATGAGTCACACTGCAACAAAAATAAGACAAGAGAGGTTGAAGACCGGGAGCTAACACATATACATGTTTATAGATAAAAGTAACCAAGAAAAAACATTACCTTATAAAGAATTTCCAACTCAGACATGATCTGCTTCTGAAGCTCCAGTGTAATGTCTAACAGAATAACCTGAGTACAGACACAGAGCAGCATCAGTACATGTCTACTTTCAAGTTACACAGCATGTGAAACACAAGAACTAAAGAAAGGTGGTCGTTTCTTTATGCAGCCCCCATTATAATTGCCAACACCAAAAACTGTCTCTGTATCTGCCTAAGCCTTTGTAGAGGAGGCAGCAGTCCAGAAGTGATTGATGGGACCCTGGAAGAAGCCAGGGCTCAGAGGTCAGCATTAATGGCTTTAAAAGTCAGTTAAGTTATAACACTCAATTTATGTACCCTATTTTAGCCACACTGGTTATTTTCAGAAGAAGATCATTAAAAGAGAAGAGCCCTGTGAGCCACAGACTCACAGATGAGCAGAGGGCTGGTAAATAAAATAACATTTTAAAATGAGATTTTTAGAAATCAAAGAAATGGGGGTTTTAAAATGCTGTCACCTTATTTCCTCCCATGTGGGTAATGTTTCTTTACAAACGCTGGCAGGGTCTCAGGTCACCTGACTCCCACGCTTTGCCAGGGAGGGCCTCTTGAAGTGTTATGGTTTTGCTTAAGTAACTGCCACTAAGGTGGACTTTATAACACAGAAATGTCCAAGTGTGAGGACTCAGACTTGCCTAGGATGCGCTCTAATTTAACCTAGCCTCTTCTCTTTCCTTGGGCAGGTGTGTGCACCTGTGCCTGAACTCAGGCCTTCTCATAAAAGCTGGGCAAGCATGCTACCAAGAGTCAGAACCCAGCTCAACCACTAAGCACTTCAGTGAAAACAAATTTTAAAATGTTGTTCTTTAAAAAAATATACTTTTAAAAGACAGTCTAAACATTTCTAGGTAAAAACCTAACATTCATGATTGCCATAACAGCACCATTCTGTAACTTTCAACACTAAATTACACTGTATCACAAATGAAGAATATGTATCATGTAAAAACTATGAATTACATAAACCACAAAGAAGGAAATGATTATTCTAATGTGCATATTTTTGATGTTGTTTTTTGAGACAGGGTTTCTCTGTGTAGCACTGGCTGTCCTGGAACTCTTTGTAGACCAGGCTGTCCTTGAACTCAGAGATCCACCTGCCTCTGTCTCCTAAGTGCTGGGATTAAAGGCATGAGCCACCATCTCTGGCTAATATGCACATTATGTATATTTTTAATGCTGACACCCATTTAAGTAAGAAAGAAAGAGTACGGGGTGAGTGGAGGTGGGCACTGCCTTTTCTACCAACGCACGCCACTAGCCAACACTTTGGAATTAATCCCAATGGAGAACTTATCTTTCCCTTGATTGAGAACCTTGCATGAGTTTCCATCACCTGGAGTAAGCTGCAACTCCAGAACACCAGGAGGTTGTGCCTCAAGCTAACCCCTTCCCTCACCCTTTCTACACAGCCTCCTTCCTGTCCACCCACACCACCTTACCAGTGTTTCCTCTCTCCACTCCACAGTCACCGATTACAAAAGCTTGTTTGACCTTTTAGACCCAGCTTGAACGCCTCACCACCTCCAGACACCCACCTCAAAGCCCTTCATCAGAATTCATCTCTGGCTTGACCCTTACTACCCTTGACCGCAATCGGCTTTAATGCCCCCGGCCATCTAAAAGCTTCCAGAGCAGAGCACTAGAAGCTTCAAGGGCAAGGTGGGGTCTGAGTATTCTTTATATCTCGACGCCCAGCACAAGGACTCACAGTAGCACCCAATCACTGAGGAGGACCTTAATCAAAGCGCTCCTTAAAAATAGTCCTCCAGATGTGCTGTTATTAGACACAGGGAAATGGATCATGTGATGTTTGCAACTAAACCAAAAACCAAAGACATGAACACCAAACAAACCACACAAAGGGCCCCACTGACCAAGAATGGAGCGAGGACTATTTATTGTATTCGTAGAGCTGATCGGTTTGGAGCTCTCTTCCACAACCCAGAAAAAGCAAATCAGGTCATTTTTGAAAATTTGAGAGGGGAAGTGCGTGCGCATGTGCTCAGTTTTCCGAGAGCCTGGCACTTGGTGAAAAGTTAACTCCCTTCCCCTGAATATTCTTGCTAGTGAGCTTCAAAACTGCTAAAAATAAACAGACCAATCCTTCCTCCGAAGGCAAGCTGAGAAAAGCACAGCGAATGTGGATTTTCCCACTGAAGTTCGAGGACAGTGTGGACCGCCTGAGTGTTCACTCCGCAGGCTGAGCCAGCGCTTCAGACTGAGAGAAGGAGCTGGAAGCAGCTCCTCCAGAAAGGGGTCAGCCAGCATGGAGGTACCTGCCTGCCTTCCCTGTTCTCCCTCCGCTAACACCTCCAGGACACACAGGGATGCGCTGTCAAGTTAAATACAAGCAGTCAAGTGACTGAATTATAATTTACTCTGTGCTCAATTTAAATTAGTGGGAGACTATTAAAATATACAGTATAAATACGGCAATTCATCACGAGCTGTCACGGATGACTTCATTTATTTGCTGGAGTGGCATGCGCTCCACTAAAGGCGAGGAGAACAAAATCACAGGTCAAATTAAGCCACTATTCTGTTTTAATTCACTTATTTAATCTGTGGCGACATAATTGTCTTTTACAGTATGTACAACTCAGAAAGGAAATTTGGGAGGATTACAGCCAGGATACAAATGATTAATCAAATGGTCCATTTAAATGCTGTTTTAAAAGCTGCAGAAATCCGAAGCACTCCGGGAATGATAATCAACGCATGCTACATACAAGGCTAAGAAATCCCGTTAGATGGCTTCTTTTCCCAATCAGAATACAAACAATCCTGGAGAATCCAGTGCATTCCCCAAGCATTACTATTGGAAAGATGTTACAGGAGGCATTACTGGCAGAGAAAGGTTCTGCTTGCAGGATGGCTAACAGGACTTGTGCTGTTTTCCGCTCTACTTATCTGCAATGGTCTTGCTACCAAGAGCAAACAAAAGCTGGCCGAATGTGTTCCAGTGAGCATGCAGGTGATTATCAGTTATTTCTAAAGTGTGGTTAACATCATTTTCTAAATGTGCTTTGTGAAGCAGAAAAAATCTAAATTGCATGGTATAGAGAACTTCCTGTTTTTCCTAAAATTAGCTTCTTTTAAAAAAATACCTGAAAAGTTCTCTTGTCTCATCTCAAGTCTGGGGAAGAAAATGCTGCAAGTCTTTATAAAGTAGGACTCAATTAAGAATATATAAAAATTGGAAATGCTATTAGCAGGGCTCTCATCTAACTGGTCCCACAGACACTCGAAATGTGGCCAACTGACCACTGAGTTGGGAAATGAAACCCCCATGGCTCCAGGCGGGCAGCAGAGCCCTGAAGGTGATTCCGCTCAGACAAGGGCCATGATGTGCTGCTCTGCACAGTTCCTCTGTGACACCAGACAACTGGGGTCACTGAGAGGTTCAAGTGACATGCTTCAAGTCACACAAAGTCAGGAGAGGGTCAGGAAAAGATCAAATGCGCTTCTAACTCTTAACCTTCCATTTCACCCTTTAATATAACAAAAGAAGCTAAGAAATATTCTGGGGGAGAGCAACAGTCCATACAAAGAACACTAGGAGGTATTTTGTATGTTGTTACTTCAAAGGACAAGTGAAGGAAACAACAAAAACATAAATGAATAAATTAAACAACAACAACAAAAACTGTATTCAACCAGTAAATTATGTGTCGAGACACTCACTGCATGTAGTGCTGGGCCCTGCAGGTAAGGCAAGAAAACGCTCAGTTCTGTTCTCCACTTTTAAGAAGATTTTAGTACATCAGAGCAAATGGACACGATACTAACAGTCATGTGCACGATGGCATGTGATGACCTTTAGGAAGGTGGCTGACAGATACAACACACGTGACAGGGCTTATCCAGAACCAAAGAGCAGGCCCTTGAAAGTTGTTAAGGATTCTAGTAGTCAAAGACACGGATGAAGGCATTCTAATTAGAGAGGCGCACATGAATTAACTTGTTGAAATTCGAAAGAAACAAGCCAGGTTCAGATGAGGTCACAAGTTCAAGTAAAACAAAACAAAATGCACAGAGATCAGGAAATGCAAGAACATGCGTTAAAAGCCACAGCAGACTGCTAATGCATTGTGGAGGGGTCTACCTTCCAACCAAGAGTGTTTTCAGTTTGCCTGGGCCGTATGATGATTGACATTGATAGTTCTATACGGATTGATCTAACAGGTCCAGAATCACCTAGGAGACAAGCCTTTGGGCATGCCTGTGAGGGAATTGGATTGGGTTAACTAAGACGGGAGACCCACCCTGAGTGTGGGCAGCAGCATAATGGGCTGGGATCCTGGACCAAACAGAAGTAAGAAAAGGAATGGAGTACTAGCTTTCATCTCTTTCCTCACACAGATGCAGAGTGGCCAGCTACCTCACACTTCTGCTACCATGACGGCTACACCCTCCAACTGTGTGGCAAAATAACCCCCCCTTCCTTAAACTCCTTCCTGAGGCGTTGTGTCACAGCAGTAGAAAGAAACCAGTACAGAAGTAACATGGAGCCTTTAGTACTCTCTACGTGGAAATGGGAAATCACCTGGGCCAAGGGGAAAGAACCTGGGGAAAGAGCACTGCAGCCTGCAGTGTGTGCTCCCTCAGCCAGGTAGAATCAGGAATCCCGCTTCAGCAGAATGGGGAAAATGCATTCCAGGGGGATTGTGGGGTTGGCTCTTTACATAAAGTTCAAGTAAGTTTAAAAAAAAAAAAAAGTCAGATTGTTTCAAAGTCACTAATATCTCAGAACAAACTTTAAGCATATTTATCAGAATGCAAAAATATCTAGCTACCTGTGCTACACTGTCAGTATCCCATAAGAAAGAAATACAACCCAAAATGAAGAGAAAAGGAATCTACTGGAAGTAATAAAGAAGTGACGTGCATAACAGCAATGGTAGGTATGTCCAATGGTTGGCTGGTCTGTCCTAGTCAGGGTTACTATTACTGTGAGGGAACAGCATGACCAAAAGCAAATTGGGGAAGAAAGGTTTCTTTGGCTTAAACCTCCACATCACTGGA